ATCTTCCACACTTGCCAACCCACACTAAATATGGAATAAATGGTAGTGAACGCTCCAGCCTAGTGTTTGCGAGCAAGTCCTCCATGCTAGAACAGGCTATCAGGCAGGAAAGGGTCGCCGCGCCCTCAGATGACTGTTGGATCATTACTTGTTAACCTGCTATGATTATTGAAATCTTTAGTATCACCATTCAAAAGTTCAACCTCAGGGCAGAGCTGAAGGAATGGGCTCAGGAGCTAAAGTGCTTGGCACACAGATCCCCAGAACTCAATTAAATGCCCAGCGGGCATTAACCTGCTGGTAATCCCAGCCTCAGAGGGTAGAGATTATTACACAGTCTTACAAAAGAGCAGGTTTGCAAACAGCCATCCCGACCAGCCGTCAACCTCTGGCTGCCAATGCACATGTGCCATATGTGTGTACAAAGACACATACCCATATGCATGGAAACGTGCATGCAAACACACACGAAGCACACCCCATGTGCACACAAGCAAAAAATGAAAAGAGGAAAAAAAAAACTCAAGATAATGACAAATATTGGTATAATTGTCCTTAAAGTTCAGGGAATGTTCTGTTGCCTAACACAAGTACATCAGTCAGCCAGAGTTTTATACAAAGTAAAGGAAGGTGAAGAAAGGGTTCCTCCTGATTTGTGTCACCAGTAAGCAAGTTTGTACTCCATCCAGTAAGTAGGCTTCATCTACACCATATTTTAAAATTGGTTTGCATTAAAATAAGAATATGGGTGATTTTGGAAGTTTTTCCTGAATGCTTCTTCCACACATGAATCTTTTTGCTGTATCTTCAGTTATTTTTCACATACAAGGCTCCTCTCCTGAGAATAGAAAATTTGGCCAGATTTACGGCCCTCAGAAAGTATGGCTCCTAGAATTTGTGAGTTGCTTGTATGTGAAACGATTTCTTCATGCGTTACACATACAAGCAACTCACACACACACACACAAAAACTTGCCCTTGATCCCAGGACAGAGAAATACTTGGTGTCCCAGGGACCAATGCTGCGCCTATTGCAAGACTTGCCATGAGAGAACTACGACAGCACAACCATTAGTGCATTCTCCACCTGGCCTCATGGAGCAGGCCTGTAAGTCATGAGAATGAAATGGGACCGCCCGGACTACAGACAAACCGAGGCAACTTCGTAAGGCCTTGTCTCAAAATAAAAAATGAAAGTGGGGGGGGGGAGGTTGGAATACCGTGGAGGATCCTAGATTCAATGCTTAGCACCACAAACACATATTTTTTTTAAGAACCTAGGTTTTTTCATCTTGGTGAAAGAATTAGTTAACAACAGTTTTCAAGACGGGCTCTTCCACTTCAGACCTGCTATTGATTCTTCCTCCAAAAAAATAAGCCCTGAGCTCCATTCTTAACTAAATGCCATGTAGTTCACACCCTTGCCTGTACCACCAAACACCACTCTGAGCAGCAGGCTCCCCTCTCATGGTGTTGAACCAACTTGAAAGAATGGCATATATAAACTGAATTGTAGGATTTTTTTTTTTTTCAAAGCTCTCAAAGCAGTGAGTCCCACACGGACAAAAGAAAACCTGAGGCAAAATGAGTGCAACTTTCTGATAGTTATCACAGAAATAGAGTTCTCTAGCTCTGCCCACCCCTTTGTCCCTTCCATCAGTTTTCTTCCGGTCGCCTTAATAAGTAGCCGTGTGAACAGTGGGACATGGTCAGTGTCCGAGGGATGCTGGTAAAAAATGTCACCGTACAAATCTACTCCAAAAAAGTCCTTTGAGAGTAACATTCCTGAAGCCGCATTCTGAACAGGTAAACCTTAACCAGAGCGCTACTGTTTGGCTGTCCCGGTCCATTAACCAGCCCTAATGGGATGGGTGTAACTGTCAGGCACAGTATGTCAGTCTGTCTCCTTGGTACTTCAGGGCTTCCATGTTAAGTTACGGCACTGCAAATTTCTTGGGCAACGTGTGGTAAACGTGAAGCCATCTTTAGACACATCTGGAGGTGCAAGCTGGGCTCCACAGCCCACAGCCATATCTGCTAAGTTACTATAAAGGATGGAGGTTGATGGCAATTTCTCTGGTGGTGACAGGATACCCTTGGGGACAGCAGAGACAACTGCTTATTCCCAGATACCCCTTGTTTCTGTCTTTTTGCATGGCACAAGAGCCCTGGTTAAGTTCAGTGGGACCTTAGAACTAGAGTCAGTTTTCCAACCTTATCTTTGTACCTGACAGGATTTTTTTTTTCCTATTAGTTGTTTACACCATTGTGTGTGCATGGTGGGGGTGGGGGAGATGGACATATAGAGTCACTTAGAGAGGTGAGAACTGAGGTTGATGGGGATGGGAAGGGCCATCCACCCTGCCAGCATCACCCGCTTGGCCAACCTTGGCTATTGTTTTGGAGGGAGGCCAGCCGAGGCTGTGCCAAGAAATACGCTCTCCACTAACTAAGCCTGTGAGAAGCCCGCAGTGCTGAACATGTGAGAGCCACATTGCCACCCAATGTTGAGTGAGTGAGACTTCCTAACCCTGAGCCCCTCGTTAAGTCCCGGCTCCTAATTGATAGTTACCAGCAGAAGAATTTCAAGGTCAGAGGAAAGATACATAAATAAAGCTACTCCCCATGTTGTGTTAAGAACTGCTAAGTAAAAGAAACAAGGGGGACTGTCATTTGGGGCTGAGTTGTGTCTAAGGGGTTTGACTATCAGGAGTTTCAAGCGCTCACATCAAACAAGGCTCCTGGGAATGTTTTGAAAAGCCGATCACATTCCATCCTAGTGCAAGATCTCTGTAAGTTCACGGCCTGAGAAATCCTACTTCCTTCCCAATCTTCCAAGTACATGGGTTTCCAGATCGAGGAATATCAAGCCAGTAGGAGTAGAATAATCACGCTCTGTCCAGGGAGGCTTTCCAGCTTGACTTCATCCTATTAAATCTGCTCACTGTGAGGCTGGGGTGAAGCATGCCTACTCCTGTGCTGTGCTCGCCTCTGGAGGAGCAGTCTAAAGTGAGTCCACACCTCACGTCACGATGAGAAGTGAGTCCTTTGGGAGAGGACAAAGAGGGCAACTGCCGAGCAGTGTAGTGACTTTCTGGATTTAAATATTAAGTGAAAAGACAGGGTCACGGGGCAGCTGACCCTCAGCTTGTCTCTCTTTCGTCTACCCATGGCTTTGATCATGCTACATCCTCCTTTCTAACAGGACTCCACAGAGAATCTCGGGGTCATGGCCTGTTGCCTCATCAAGATGGGAAGCCCACAATTTGGCAGGCCCGGGAGGAGAGGGGAGGCAGCTTCATGCGGTCCACATCTCCCACAAAACCAAAAGCAGACTAAACAAAACCGGTGTGAACTCCTGTGACTTGATGCTGCTGTGATTCTGTTTTTCAAGCTGTAGTCCATTCATTTCTGTGTGTGTGCATATTCCCAGGCTTTACAGCTCTCTCCGTCGTTAGTGGGGGTTGGGGCAGAAAACCTTTCTTGAAGAACTTCTAGAAAGCTGTGAACTGTGTCGGAAGCACAGGAGAGAGGATCCATGACTGGTGTGTGTGTGTGTGTGTGTGTGTGTGTGTGTGTGTGTGTGTGTGTGTTCACATCCACAGGAGGGCATGAACAGACTGTGGAGAGGGCTTCTCCACTCCCATTTGCTACTTTTGCAAAGAAGCGTCACACATGGTAACAGTTAGGAGCCCCTTCACAGCTGAAGTGTTTCAGACACTAATGAATGGAAGTTCGGCTGTGTTGTACAGACGGGCTCTAAAGCATTCTTTACTGAGGGGTATACTGTGGCGACCTGGGAAAGGAAGAGAGGTATAAATTGTGTCAGTTAGCCACCCAGACAAAATGAAGCCATGTGGAAAATCAAATCTATTAAAGTATGAAGGCTGTTTTAAGCTGGCCATTCTTAAAGGGGCGCCATTGGCTGCCGGAGTAAACGTTTACCTCTGTCCCAGATCTTTTTTTACACGCTGTCTTTGGAGACAGCCAGCAGCATTTGATAAAAATCATCCTCCCAACTAATGACACTTTTTATCGGAAATGTTTATTGTCTCCGCTTTACCACCCATGTCCTGAAAGGTATTGCAGGTTTTGTTAAATAAGCAAAAGTTAAAAGAACTTTGTAGCTCACACCAGCTTGCAGGAACCCCAACAAATTCCAGAGCCATAAGGAATGAGAAGGGGGGGGTGTGGAGTTAGATTTATATGGAGGAGAGGCCCTGAAAAAACATATATATTAGTTTTCTCTGCTTGGCTGGCCCACCATTAAATGTTTGCCTGATGTTGACGGATTTAGGATTGAGACTGAACAGTTATGTCAAACTTTGCTCGTTGCCTCAAAATGTGCTTTAATAAATGTAAGAATAAGGAAACAGCCCTCTGAAACAGTGCACTCTCAGAGTGGGGTCTGCTGCCCCTGCAGCGGAGTTCTCCACCAGTCCAGTTTAACCCAAACCTGCCCCTGCGTGCCTTGCAACTTTTGGTAGACGGCTTGTCTGCCACCCTGGGCTTTCTCATCTAGGAAAAAGCATCTAGCAAACACCAAAAGGGCGTCAGCTACCATTACAGGCACCCGGCAAGCGGATTTTCTTTCCTTAACACTGTCTTTATGGGCAGTGATGGCAGTTTTTAAAACTGATGACTGGCATGCTGTCGGGGAAAATAAATCTCTTTCTTGGTGAGTAAAGCGTCCAGGGATCCCACAGTCTCCAGACTGCAAACAATTCAATTTGCTGACCAGCAACCATGATGCCTTAAGTCAACAGTGACTGAAGGCAGCGCTGGGAAAAGACAGCCCCTTGATTCCTCAATGACGCGGGTCAGGAGCCTGGGAACGGAGGGCAGGGAGAGGCACTCGCTGTTCGCTGTCGTCAAGCAAGCTCAGGTTGGGCGTGGTGGAGGCGGACACCCCCCGAGCTGGTGCGGGAGGGGTGCACTGGGCAGCCGAGGTCCCCCGGGACGGGGACGAGGCCTAACCCACCTGCCCTCGTGTGTTGCAGGAGACCGAAGAGACATCCTCGCAAGAGTCTGCCGAGGAGGATTAGGGGGCGCCGACATTCGAATTCTACCTCACCATCAGTTGGATCTTTCGAAGGGAGAAGACACTGCAGTGACCACTTACTCTCTGCTGCCACGGTCTTTCCACTTTCTGCGGGGTGGGGCAGGGGCGGGACTGGGCGAGGGGCGGGGGCGGGGCGGGAGAACTCACATAACCTTGAAAAGGACTATATTAATCACTTTCTTTGTAATCCCTTCACAGTCCCAGGTTTAGTGACAAACTGCTGTAAACACGGGGGACACAGTTTAACAATGCAACTTTTAATGACTGTTTTCTTTTTCCTTTAACCTACTAATAGTTTGTGGATCTGATAAGCAAGAGCGGGGGTGGTTGGGAGAAACTCTGGTGGGCTTAATCAGTCACTGCGTGCACACCCTAAACCGGCACCCTGGTGACAGGGGGCATTCGTATAAGAAAAGCACTGTATGTGATCGGGCTCACCCAGATGCCACTCCACCCTGATCATAGGAAATCTTTTACTTAGAACACCAAAGATAAGGGCTAGACACTACTCTCCTTTGTGTATAATCTTGTAGACACTTACTTGATGATTTTTTTTTCTTTTTAATTCTGAATGAAAATGCTGGTGTATCTTTTTGAACAGCTAGCAAACCAGAACAGGTTACGCTCATTTTTCAAAAAGGGAAGTAAGCAGATAATAAACGTTGACTCCTATGTTTATGGGCTTACACACACACACACACACACATACACACAAAGTGGCAGGAAACCTTTTTT